AAAAAAAAAAAAAAAAAAAAAAACATGTCATCTTTGATCATACCGCCTGTCCTAACTTCACCTCAGGACGATGCTGCCCAACTTCACCGTGCCTTCAAAGGAAAGATTCTACTTCTTTTTTTTCTAGTTTCCACTTCTTCTCCTTGTTGCGCTTCCTAATAATTCCATCCATGCAGGATTTGGCTGTGACACTGCTGCAGTTGTCAACATTCTTGCACATCGAGATGCAACCCAACGTGCTCTCATTCAACGTGAATACAAAGCCATGTATTCCAAGGGTCTCATCAAACACTTGAAATCTGAGCTCAGTGGTAACCTTGAGGTGCGTGTAGATTCATTCGGCTTCTTGGGATTTAGATTCATTCCTTCATTTATTTATTTTATTTATTTATTTTATTGGCAGAAAGCCGTTTTACTATGGATGTACGATCCAGCAAGCCGAGATGCTGTCATAATAAAGGAGGCTTTATGTGGAGAAACTGTTCATCTCAGACGTGCCACTGAAGTAATGTGTTCTCGTACCTCAACTCAACTTCAGCAGCTTCGACAACTTTACTTGTCCATGTTCCAATCCTACATCGAACATGATATTCAAAATGTTGCTTCCGGGGATCACAAGAAGGTTATATACATACAATTTTCCCTTCACTACTTTCACAAACCTTCATTTTGATTGGTTATGTTTGATTTATTGATTTGATTGGCAGCTACTATTGGCTTACGTTAGTAAACCACGGTATGAAGGTCCTGAAATTGACGGCGACATGGTAGCCAAGGATGCAGAGGCTCTGTATAAAGCAGGGGAGAAAAGATGGGGTACTGATGAGGACAAGTTTATACAGATCTTTAGTGAAAGAAGCAGGGCTCATCTTGCTGCTGTTAGCTCTACTTATAAGAACTTATATGGGAACTCTTTGAAAAAGGTGCCATTTATTTATTACTGTTCCAATCTTCGGGTTTTACAATAATGTAAGGATTTTAGATCAACACAAACAAACACCAAAACATATTTGCAGGCAATAAAAAACGAAACTTCAGGGTATTTTGAATTTGGGCTTCAAACAATCGTGCGGTGTGCTGAGAATCCTGGGTTGTACTTTGCAAAGGTATTTTCTTTTTTTGAAGTTTAGTTGCAGTTAAGCATTGAAGAACATGTTGATTGAGATTGTTTGATTATAGATATTGTACAAGGCAATGAAGGGGTTGGGAACAGATGATACCACACTGATAAGGATAATTGTGACAAGAACTGAGATAGATATGCAGTATATAAAGACAGAATACCACAGGAAGTATAAGAAAACGCTGCATGATGCTGTTCGTTCTGAGACATCAGGAAGTTACAAGGATTTTCTTCTTTCCTTGTTGGGGTAGGATATTATCATTACACAACAATTATAAATGTGTATTTTTGTTTCGAGTATTCATCATGGTTTTGTTTTAGTTTGTAGTAATAAATGTGTATGAAGATCCAATGTTACACATATACACGAAACAACAATTGTTGTATGAGCTTTTCAAGTGGCATAAATGATTGGTTTGAGCCATAATTATTAGCCAAAGGGACTGCTCTTGCAATGTTCAGAGAAGCCTGAGTGAACTTTGCAGGGAATAAGTTGGATAAGAGATATTCTTTGTTTAGAGTCTTCCATGCTTGAGAAATTTTGTTCGTAACATGATGGTGTGTGGCTTCATGGGAGATGCTTGGATGCTCATTCATGTAGTATTTTGCATATGATCCATCTCGCCCCACTTGCTTCTCGTCCTGCGCACGTGTATATGAATGCTGGTTTATGTTCGAACATTAAAATCAATCGTCATAAATTCTAACTTTTTCCAAACCCCAAAGGGAGGCTTTGTTGAGCCACCGAAAATGTCAGGATCATCTAAACTTCAAATCGTAATTCGAATCCTTGACATGGGTCAATACCGTTACCTTTGCACTGCCCATGTCATCACAGAGTCGAAGTATGATGGCAGTAGATGAAATAATGTCTAAATCATCTTCCAAAAGCTCTGCAGTTTGGTGGCTTATTTGTTGGCCTAATAGAAAGAAAACATGTACTAAAATAACGTGGATGCCAGTGCTAACAATGCCATTCCTCAAATATTCCTCTGCACTTGGTGAATATCCACAACTCATCCACTCAGTTTCCACTAAGAAGGCCTTGCATAATTTGCCCCACTGCACACAAACGTCAAAACACAACTTTGGGTGACATTATAGAGATCAAATTAAAGATACATACCGCTCTACTTAAGAAACCAATGGGATTCCAGCCATGCTTCTTATAGATCATGGAGCTTATATCATTGGTAACTTCAAATAGAGATTTTAAACAAACTCCCATGCAATCAGGCAATGTTTTAGCAGCACCCAAATCCCATCTACAATGTAGTGAACAACGTTGATTTTAATAACATGAAATTTGATATGACATAAGCGACGAATATGGGTTCCAACCTGTAGACAGCTTCAGTGAAGAGGGTGAGTTCATTAAGATTTCCAAATACATCAAAAAGGTCATCAATGAGAAACACAAAAGAGATGGTCTTTCCAAGTTGGAGTCTTTGTTGGGAATAGCATGAATCTCCGAGACAAACTAGTGATGCTATGTACCATATAATAGGTTCATCTCTTGCAAACTTCAACTCTTCCGCCAAGCCTGTTTCTTTCCACCATCTATAATTAACAAAACATCAAGAAACATGAGGACGCATCTAAAGATTTTATTTTTTTTTTATTTTTTTCTAATGAAGACAACAATAGTATAGATAAACGTTATGTTACTTCAAGAACTGAACAAGTTCGTCTTGGTGTAGCAGCTGAGTTCTATTGAAATCCACTTTGGCAACATCTTGCAAAACATGGATCCATTTGTTTGTGCTTTGAATGTCTCCAAAATAGTTAGGCACCATGAATTTAGCAACGCTTTTATGGTGGGGATGAGCTAAAGTGTTGCGCACAAGAGGGGCCATGTGATGATCAAGATGAGCCAGGCAATGATTAAGGCCATGGGTGCTGAAAGTTTCAGCTTCTTCAAGTATGTCATCGCCATGCATGCATAGCTGTGAAGCTTCATATAAGCTCATCAGCCCATTCACGTTTTGTGTTAGCCCTTGGTTGAACTTTCCCTTGTTGTCCAAGAAAATTGTGAAACTATCTATTGGTTGAAATTATGAACAAAGATTAGAAAGAGTTAGATTGTGTTTAGGGCGGCTAAGTAGCTCGCTTGTCCTTTTAGTTGATATAATAGAGTAGTTGGTAGTGACCTGTGGACACGGGATAACCTTGTTGTCTCAAAAGTCGAAAGAGAAGACAAGTATAGTGAAGATTGGTGTCCTGTTGATGGTTGGATGAGACGTATAGGCTTTGAAGAACAACTTGAATCTCCTGTTGGAAGTGGTAATCAATGCCAAGGCGTTGGGTGGCATCAATAAGGCTCAAGCATTCCAAGGAATAATCTCCAGTTTGGTGTCTCAATAAATGCCTTAAAATATCCAATTTAGCGGGAGCTTCAACAAGCCCAAGGCCATCCTACGCACATGAGTATCAATTCCAAGGAGTTAGACTAGATAGAGAGAAAATAGAAAGAAAGGAGAGAGTTACAAACATACAGCAAAGTTTAAGAGATTGAAGGAAGAAGAATCCGCACGAATGCTCCATTTTTTATCTCCAAAACCTGGTTTCTCAATAGGGTTCTTGAAAAGCCGTGAATGGTTGTGAAAAGCTTTTGGAATCTTTGATTGAGACATTAAGGTTATTGGAGGAGGAAGAAAGAAGAGAAGGCTGGCCATTGCAACTTCTGATAAACTCGTCGATCTTGCACTTCTTATATAAAAAATGAATACAGTTGCCCCTACAAGACCCTTGGGTCTGGCCTAACTTCTTTCCTTCCCTTCTGCCCAACCATGCTTCCAAGCTTCAACCTTTGTAATCACCCATGCCTACAATTTGGTATTTCATTCGGTATTTCATTTGGTATTTCATGGTCCCAACATTCGCCTACATCTTCTATAACATGGATACTTTTCTTGCTTTTTAAAAGTGAATAGCTCCACCCATTAACACCAATCCTCACAACATTCTTTATTCTCACTCACATGCATCCATAAAAAATTTATAGGAGGCCACCTAAAATAGAATTACTCTAAATAAAGCATGCTTAATCATAGAGTTTTTATAATGAACCCATCTTATCACTCTTATTGTCTCCATTTATTCATAACATCCTTCTTTTATTAAGTAGATTGTCATTAGGCATGTATTTCCTTGATTTTTCTTCGGACTTCCTGTTCTTGTTTAGAGTTGTTCCATAGATTCAAAACTAAACATGCTTTGAATTCCTTTTTGGACTTGTTCCTTAATCCAAAATTACTCGTAAGAATGTAAGAATATAATACTGTAACTGTGATGATCATAGTAGCGAAGCTGTAAGAAGATAAATAAACTTTAAATACATAAATAAGCTAATAATAGAAGCCTGATTTTGAATAAATTAAACAATAATTTTAGATGAATAAAAAGAAATCAGTTTTACCAAACAAATTAAACAGTTAAGATTGTTTCCAAGTCAGGTTAAAAAGTCAAATTAAATTGGTAATTCTTCCACATAATCTAAAATGTGTTTTATTTTAAAACAATTAAAGAAAAAAAAAAAAAAAGTCAAACACAGTTTTAATACGAAACAATCATTTGCATATTGGTTAATTGAATCGTTTCAGTGTGTAAGGTAAATCAAGAAGACACGTAGGTATGGTGAAAGTTGTATACATTAATTTATTACAAAAGTTAATGCCAAAAAGTAGGGCACAAGTTTATACGTTTACCCAAAGTATTATACTAAATAATCCATTAAAAAGGGAAGTGATAAGTACTAGAAAGCGTGGGTGGGCGTAAAAAAAAGATTAACAATCCATGACTGATTTCTTAAACTAAATCAAGTTGTGTGTTCTCGATTTTCAAAACATAAACCTCATGGACCTCGACTGTGATATCATGTTTCACATCTTAGCTTTATGTTGGTATCCATATTTGTTAATATGTTATGTTAATATGCGCTTACAATTTTGGTTTATGCTATGTATTAATAACTCTTGCCTAAGGTAACAAATGATATGTATTAATTATTAGCCTAATACTACGAATGGATATCGTTTGTAATACCATATTGGTTAATCAAAATGTTCAAAATGTGTTTACTATTTTAGTCTATGGTTTGTATTAATAACTCTTACCAAAGGTAACAAATGATATGTATTAATTATTGAGCTATACTATGGTATGTATTAATAACTCTCGGTTATCATGCCTTGGAAAAATAATCCTTGTAAACATAAACCTACTCATAAATTGTGGACGGCGAATAAAACTACTTAAATTATATTTACTATTGTGTCTTGGTTGTCGTACAACTCCGCCGTTTTATGGTATCGTACCATCGTGAACCATGCGCCGAGCCAAGACTTGCACGCAAAAGGCATCGTCGAAGGTAGCGAAGCTGTGATGCTCGTGGGTGGGTGGGGTTCAAAGCTTGAAAAGAAACAGTTAATTTGTTTCTCTCTCCAACCCTTAAATCTCACTATTCTTAAGTCTAAATTGAATAGAGACAAACCCTACATTCAAAATACCAACCATCAAATAGTAACTAAACTTTGTGATAATGGTGTAAATTGTTATGAAGATGTATTGTTATAAGTCTCATTTAGTTCTTTGATGGTTCATATTTTCATTTATTTTGGTAAATTGTTATGAAGAATTAGTATTGCTACGACTATATAAAAGATTGTCTAGCATTATTTTGAGATGTGGAGTCATTGTCATTTTGTATCTGCCAATTAAGAGAAAGTTTATGAAAGACTTTGTAGTGTGAGAGTGTGAGAGATACACTTTGTAAGCACTTTAGTTAGAGTGATCGGCTATCTCCCGTGGATGTAAGGCTCTTCAAACCAAGTAAATCTTTGTGTGTTTTTGTTTAATTTATGTTTGTGAGTGTGTGAATACAATCGATCTTACTTCCACTTCTATCAGCATAAAATAATGAGACTCGTGGAAACTAACAGTTTGCGCCTTCGAACGGGGTTTCTGGCAAAAACTTGATAGTATAAGGTGGAGATACAGAGTTGCAACTTGATAGTACAACGCTTTAGAATTTCTTCAAACTAAGAGATTCTATTGTAGAAACTAAATATTTTGTTTTCCAAAATCCCTTAAAAGCATATTTTTATGTGTTGGGGACCTATGACTGACATAATTTTATGGTGATTACATGTGAATATATATACTCGGTAGTTAGCTGTGAAGGTGAACAAAAGGGTTTAGTTCGCGTCATCTCCTTCTTTAATGTTATTGTTTGATTCGACCATTACGACTTAGATGATAATTTTTTAGAATCAATTAGAGTGCGATACAAGCATCTATTTAAACATAGCATGGGATGGGATAGAAGCATTTATTTAACCATATAGTTGGTACATAGCATATAGTAATATTGCATAGTTGATAGTAAGGAAGGCCCTCCCACCTAGACAAATGTTGGGCTCACGGTCCCTACTTTCCTTCCATGAGATGGGCATCAATGTCTTTGGACATCTCCACAACAAACTCAAGCATAGTATATGATTCCGGAATGTCTTTATGAAGTTTCTCATATTCCAAAGTCCAATGAATCACACTTCCCCTACCCTTGGGAGTAGCTTGGATTGTAAACTTGAAGTTCTTATGATCCTTCAAAAGGTCTCCTTCAATCATTCTTAAAACAACCAGATTCTCATCCGCATCCACAGCTTCAACTAATTGCTTAGCTACTTTAGCCTTTCCATCTGCAGTTTAGCGCTACATTAAATTAATTAATATCCATTCTATGATATATGTATTGAAGTAAAAAAGAAGCTAAAGAAAACAAACCATGAAAGTAGTTCCAGCAGATGATAGAACCAGCTTGGCCCCATTCACCCTTGTGTAGCTCACAGCCTTGTATTTTGTCCCCCGAAGCGTTAGTGACATGGTATGGTCTCTTACAGAACATTTCATGAAACTTTGAAGCGGGAGATTTGATTTCAATGTCCGCCTGCAACTTTCCATACCCAGACATTTTTTAGCTGTAAGTTGTCGTGCTTCAAGCCCAGATAACGATAATGTTTTGCTAACCCTACAAACTTTGACACTATTTATAAACAGGATGTATATGTGACTCAATGAATTAATGATCATTCAATGTGGTGGTTAAAACAAACACACAAGGCATTTATGTTTGAAAGAAGTTTTGTTCTTTGTTGCCATTTATGTTTCCATATTGCCATTTATGTTCATAATTTTAAATTTGGTCCCAAGTTTTTATTAGTTGGAGAAAAAAAAGTCTCCAGATTAGGTGTAAGTAATTAATTAATGCTGTATTACTCCTCACTAATTGAGGAATAATATAACCTCCAGGGCAATTATAATAAGTTGTAGGAGACAATTTAGACCCACTTATTGTTGTAAAATTTATTTTGAATGGTCCTTCCAACTGTTCCATAATTTGAGTCATAATTTGAGTCATAACTTGGCTCCCACGTCTTGAATTGTGCCCGGTGGAATAAAAATAAATAAGAGAGAGACACAGCCATAATTTTAAGTTTTAACCCTACTCTTACCATTAGGTTTGGATCAAAATTTGGCTTTGATAAAAATTTGGCTTTGATACTATTTGTAACACGGTCCAACCCCACTACTAGTAGATATTATCTTTTTTGGGTTTGTTCGAGCCTATCACTAGCATATATTGTCCTCTTCAGGCTTTCTTTTTTGGGCTTCCAACCCATCGCTAATAAATATTATCCTCTTACACTTTCCCTTTCGGGGTTCCCCTCAAGCTTTTTAAAATGCGTGGAGAGGTTTGCATATCCTTTTAAACAATGTTTCGTTCTCCTCTCCAACCGATGTTGGATCTCACAATCCACCATCCTTCGGGGCCCAGCGTCCTCACTGACACTCGTTCCCTTCTCTAATCGATGTGAGACCCTCCAATCCACCCCCTTCGGACCTAGTGTCCTTACTGGCACACTACCTCTTATCCACCCCTTGGGGCTCAACCTCTTTGCTAGCACATCGTCCGGTCTCTGGCTCTGAACCATTTGTAACAACCTGAGCCCATTGCTAGCAGATATTTTCTACTTAAGCCCGTTACGTATCGCCGTCAGGCTCACAATTTTAAAGTGTGTCTGTTAGGGGAGAGGTTTCCAAACCCTTACAAGGGATGCTTTATTTCCCTCTCTAACTTACGTGGGATCTCAATCACAGGTTGAGAGAGTTAATGCTTAGTTTATAATATTATCCTATTATCCCCCAATAATTATAGTTGTTATACAAGTAATTCACACTCATAAATTTTTAGGGTTAGAACCATTAATAACCCTAATAGAGGAAAAATATAAAATCTTGATCCAAAAGATACAACAACACAGTGTATAAATAAAGAGGTTGATATAAGACATTATATGTTGGTTTGGTTAAACTACAACTTTATTATCCTGTATCAACACAATGTCTCTGTTAGGGAAATTGGAGGGTGAGACTGAAATCAAAGCTCCAGCTTCAAAGTTTTATGAAATATTCTGCAACAGACCGCACCATATATCCAATATTTCGGGAGACAAAATACAGGGTTGTAAGTTAGAGGAGGGTGAATGGGGAACAGTTGGTTCTATCATCTATTGGAACTACTGTCATGGTTTGCTTTCCAAATCTAATATTTTAGTTTCCTAAATAAATGATGAGATTGTGTACTAATTTGTGGCGTTGTATATATTGTTAATTAGATGGAGAAGCTAAGGTTGCAAAGCATCTAATCGAAGCAGTTGATGAGGAGAAGAATATGATCCGTTTGAAAGTGCTGGAATCGGACCTTCTGAAGCATTATAAAACCTTCAAGGGTACGTTTGAAGCTACTCCAAAGGGTATTGGAAGTGTGGTTCACTGTGTTTTGGAATACGAGAAATTGCATGGAGGGATTCCAGATTCTAATTCGATACTTCAGTTCTGCCTTGATCTCTGCAAAGACCTTGGGGCTGGCCTTACGGAAGACAACTAATGATATGTAACAAGTATTGGGTAATGCTATATGTATTGGTAACTCTTATGCTTAAAATAATTGCTCGTAACCATATGTTCTCCCTCAAGAAATTGCATGAATTGGTTTCCATTTGTAATCCAATACTTGAGATATATATGAAATATAGTTTTCTGAGGCATGATTACATAGAATAAGCACCATTTGTTTAAACATAGCAAGCCATACAAGCATTTATTTAACCATATTGTTGGTACATAGCATGTAGTAATATTGGATGGGCATCAATGTGTTTTTGGGGCGCTCACAATCCCTACTTTCCTTCCATGAGATGGGCATCGATGTCTCTGGACATGCCCACCACAAACTCCAGCAGACTATATGCCTCTTGAATGTTTTCATGATGTTTCTCATATTCCAAAGTCCAATGAACCATACTTCCCTTACCCTTGGGAGTAGCTTGCATTGTAAACTTGAATTCTTTATGATTCTCCAAAAGGTCTCCATCAATTACTCTAAAAACAATCAGATTCTCATCATCATTCACAGCTTCAATTAAGTGCTCAGATACTCTAGCCTTTCCATCTGCAGTTTAGCGCTACATTAAATTAATTAATATCCATCCTATGATATATGTATTGAAGTAGAAAAGAAGAAAAAACCATGAAAGTAGTTCCAGCAGATGACAGAACCAGCTTTGCCCCATTCACCCTTATGTAGTTCACAGCTTTGTATTCTGTCCCCCGAAGCGTTAGAGACATGGTATGGTCTCTTACAGCACATTTCATAAAACTTTGAAGGGGGAGACTTGATTTCAATGTCCGCCTGCAACTTTCCATATCCGGACATTTTTGAGCTGTCAGTTGATTTCAATGTTTTGCCAACCCTACAGACTTCGACACTATTTATAAACAGGATTTACTCCCAGAAGAGTGGATGTGTATGTCCCAAGTTTTTATTACTTGGAAAAACAAGTCTCCAGATTAGGTGTAAGTAATTAATTAATGCTTTATTACTCCTCACTAATTCCTGAATAATATAACCTCCACGGCAATTATAATAAGTTCTAAAAACAAAAATTTAAACCTAACTATTTTTGTAAATTTTAAATGAACCTCCCGACTGTTCCATAATTTGAGTAATAATTTCATCATTATTGACTGAATGACCCAAAATAAAAGAGATTTCAAACTTTAAAAAAAAATAAATAAATATAGTTTTGGATAGAAATTTCAAACTTAAACAAAAATTAATTGGCTTATTTGTAGTTGTTGAGGGTATAATGCTTAGTTTATAATATCATGCTATTATCCCCCAATAATTATAGTAGTTATACAAGTAATTAACATCCATCAATTTTTAGGGTTAGAATTGTTAATAACATTAATTGTGGAAAAAATATAAAATCTTGATCCAAAAGATACAACAACACTGTGTATAAATAAACAAGTGTGGGAGTTTATTTGGTTGATACACGACATCATACCTTTGTTGGGTTAAGCTACAACTTTAATTTGTATCCCATATCAACAGGATGTCTCTGTTAGGGAAAGTGGAGGCCGATATTGAAATGAAAGCTCCAGCTTCAAAGTTGTTCGAAATAATCCACAAGAATCCTCACCATCTTTCCAATGTTTCGGGAGACAAAGTAGAGGGTGTTAAGTTACATGAGGGTGAATGGGGAAAAGTTGGTTCTATCATCAACTGGAACTACTATCATGGTTTGCTCTCCAAAGCTAATATTTTGGTTTCCTAAATAAATGATGAGATTGTGTACTAATTTGTGGCGTTATATATTTTGTTATTTAGATGGAGAAGCTAAGGTTGCAAAGCATTTAATTGAAGCAGTTGATGAGGAGAAGCATATGATCACTTTCAAAGTGCTACAATCTGACCTTCTAAAGCATTACAAGACATTCAAGTTTAGGTGTCAAGTTACTCCAAAGGGTAAGGGAAGTGTGGTTCACTGTGGTTTAGAGTACGAGAAATTGCATGGAAATGTTCCAGATGCGCATTCCATGCTTCACTTATGCGTTGCTCTCTGCAAAGACCTCGAGGCTCATCTTATGGAAGGTTAACTGATGATAATGTAATAATAAGTATTGGCTTATACTATGCTATGCTATGTATGTATTAATAACTCATACGCTTAAAATAAATGCTTGTAAGCATATGTTCTCCTCATGCATGGCCTATACGTTGTCATGCATTCGAGAATTTATCGTTGTAAAATATTCTGAATGTAAACCTACTCGTAAGTTATGGATTGCGAAATGTGTGATAAAACTTAAATTTGACCTTCGATCTTCAAGGGTTTTGTGAGAACTACTGCTAGATCTCACATTGATTGGAGAGGAGAACGAAACATTTATTATAAATGTGTGGAAACCTATCCCTAGTAGACGCATTTTAAAACCGTGAGGCTGACGATGATATACCAAAACAGACAATGTTTGCTAGAAGTGGGCTTAGGCTATTACAAATGGTATTAGAGCTAGACACCGGGCGAAATGCCAATAAGGACGTTGGATTGTGAGATCCCATATTGGTTGGAGAGGGAAACGAAACATTCCCCTAGTAGACATATTTTAAAATTATGAGGCTAATGATGACCAAAATGGAGAATATGTGTTACCCTCCCATTTTCCCATTGGTAGCAGAAAGAATGGGAAGTGGTGTTTTATGTTGGACTTTGGGCTTATTAATGTTTTGGTGAAAGTCAATAAATGGGCGATTTATGACCCTTGGTCGTCCTATGTAATTCAACCTTGGGTTGGCATTTACGTAAGAACTCACGGTTGTTTGGAGATGCCAAGCCTCTCGAAGTGGCTGAAGAATGCCAGAAATTGATATCTCAATTTGTGAAGTAATGGGGGGTGAAAGGGAAATTGATATCTCAATTTGTGAAGTAATGGGGGGTGAAAGGTTGGAAGATAAGGGTAGAAGTGGTTCGGATTTGACAAGTTGTTGGTAGACAAAAACAAGTGACCCACTATGGTTGCTCCAGACCCTGTTTGGGAATAAAAGTGCGACACTCAGCTTGTAAATAGGGCATTAGCTCTCTTATGAGTTCAACAAGCACATGCCCACTCATTGGGCAACTAAAACAAATGTAATGGGTTTAAATATTGCACTCATGTCTCCCTCAAAACCATGAACAAATCTCATTGGATATATGAATATATTGATTCTAACCCATAAAAAGAGTTCGAAAGTGGAGACGATATATCTTTTCAGCTTCAGTGAAATTTGATTTCCGATATCTTAAGAAATGATGACAAAAGAAGAATGAGATTACTAACACGTGCAATTCATGAATGTAAAAGTTGAAATTCATGAATGTGTGTTAATTTCGTTTTGGACCAAAGGTAGGTTTTAACTTCAATTACTATTAGATTTGAAACTTTGTTGGGAATTTATTATCATAACAATTTGGAATTTAAGTGAATGTAGTACATGTTCTCTTGATATTCATTATTACATAAATTTTTTAAAATTTAAAATTTAAGATCATATAACATATATGGATTTGAAGAATCCTATGTCGTTAGTGCGGTTGGAACGACCCTGTTGAGCAATCCTATTATTAAGTTCAAATGAATGATTATTCTTGAAACCTCTTATAAAAACTTGTAATTATCATAGATCCATTGATTAAAAAGAGAAAGAACGTATAAAATGAAAAGAATGTGTACTTGAATTAGTACGAAAATGAGGTTTTAATTAATTTGTGTATCATTTTTCCCACAAAACACCATAAATATGTTCCATAAAACTAATAATTTGGGACATGTATTGGAATATAATGTTATAAAGGTAATAAAGGAAAAGATAATTAGGAGACTATGATATGCATCTTGAATGATTTTAGAAAATTGTATGTGCTATTCCACTATGGAGCATTCTAGCCACTAGAGTGAGCCCTTTTTGAGTGGCTCAAAATAGTTGACCTTCCCCTACGTTGGGAATCTATTACAACTAAGAAACCAAATTGGTTTGTGGGATAATTTTCACTCTTAAAAAAAAAAAATATATATATATATATACTAGGTCATTAGGCCCCGAGTCTAGATTTCGAATCTTGAGTATGAGACGTTACCACGCCTTGACATTATCTTTATAACTATCAACTCTCGTGAATAATGAATACCTTGACATTATGTTTATAACTATCAACTCTCGTGAATAATGAATAATGAAGTAGGATTTGGAGCTACCTCTCCCTTTGGCTTCTCTAAGTGAAGGCTTGAGGATAACACATTTGGCTTCTCCAAGTGAAGGCTTGAGGATAACACATTTGGCTTCTCTAAGTGAAGGCTTGAGGATAACACAAAAGGGTGGTAGGGAAGGCGTGGAGAAGAGAATTGTGACACAAATGATGGCACAAGTAGAGGTAGGGTTCAAAGTTTGATATCCAATAAAGTTATAAAAAGAGCATACATTTATATAAACTTACAGCAGCGTCCCTACTTTTGGGCTCAGAAATTACATTACAAATTTGCATGGGAGTGACATAAACATTATAGTTTAAACATTATTAAATTCTCATAAATGAGAACTCTGAAATGAAATACTCCCACCCTTCTCTACTCCCAGTTTACTGCTATTGGACTTCTCACACTATACTTTCCAGACACCCAAACAAGAGACCCAAAGGAAAAGTCGCTCAAACCCTCTCTTTTACCCAACGCAACAAAACTCACTTGGTACCTCAGCTTCTGTCCAGATCTCCTAAAACTTAGCTTCTTAGGCTTCACGCTGACTCTTATTCCACTTGGATTGTTGATTTTGACAGTGTAATCACTTGTTGGGGTACCAACATTTGTGACGGTTCTCTTGAATGTAACATTCTTGGCCCTGTTCTTCATGGAAACAGAGAAAGAAGGGTAGTTCAAGTCCCCTGGCTGAACAAGATTTCTATTTGAAGGACAACTGAAATTCCCTCTTGAAACTAAACCAACTTGTTTTGACGTGTAGTTCAAGCTACACAAGTAGTTTAGGTAGTCTTGGGGTTCGATATCGTAGACCAATCCCGGGTCCACAGCTTTCTCGGGATCCACATGCCCAGAACCGAACGCGTAAGGATCTGCAGGTCCACCGCTAGGGCGACCCACGTCGGAAATGACACTCCTTTTGTTGTCATTAACGTAAGCTGTGGTCATGAGTGCGGATTTGATGGCGGCAGGCGACCAATTGTTGTGAGCCGATTTAAGCAGAGCAGCTATGCCGCTAACATGGGGACAGGACATAGAAGTTCCCGAAATGATATTGAACAGCACTCTTCTTTTATCGGACTTGAGCTCACTTGGGCTCACAACGGGTGGCCAAGCAGCTAATATGTTAACCCCAGGGGCAGTTATGTCTGGCTTTATCACGTACGGCTCGAAGAAGCTGGGTCCTCTAGAAGAAAAGGCAGCCATTCTGGGTGCTCGACTCCCATATCTGGTCCCTTCAAACAGGATTGAAGCTTTCGGTGGCTGTTTCGAGGAAGCTATGTAGTTTATGATGGCTTTGCCAGCTGAAGCTCCAAGATTAACGGCAGGTAAAACATGAGAGTCAGCAAAAAGCTCTTCACCCTCAAGTTGTGTGTTGATCAGAATCATTCCAACTCCGCCTGCTAATTTGACTTGCTCTCCTTTTTCAAACCTCGAGTTTGTGCCTCTTTCACATACCACAATTTTGCCCTTCACCATTGATGGGACAAGCGAACCAGCTGTGCAAACATTTGCTTCTTCTCCACCCGCAGTTTTGTTATAAACAAGTGGGAGTTGACCTATGCTGTTCCCAGAATGCAAAGAAGAGCCTTCAAATATTTGGCCATTTCCAAGTTTTACAGAGCCTGCGAAGGTTCTGTCAGTGTAGCTTGCAGCGACTGTCATGATCCATGGCGCTACATTACCAACAGTTGACATAAATGGGCCAGAATTTCCAGCTGAGCATGACACAAAAACCCCATTTCGAACGGCACCAAATGCCGCTATGGCTATTTCATCTTGGTAAAAAAAACCATCACCGCCGCCTAACGAAAGCGACAGAACATCGACTCCATCGACGACAGCGCGGTCTATGGCTGCCAAAATATCGGTGCTGGCGCACCCCTCTGGCCAGCATACTTTATATGCTGCAATCCTATACAGATTGTCAAAGTATAAAGCTTGTTTGGAAATATTGTACAAAATTTGAAAGAAAGTATGGTTCTAAATTGAATACCTTGAAGTGAACCTCATTCCAGTGGCTGCTCCCATGCCTTGGTTATAAAGGCTTGCTTTGTACACAATGTTCCCAGCAGCAGTGGATGCGGTGTGGGTGCCATGCCCGTCCGAGTCTCGAGCCGACCGAAACGTCCCGGTCGTGTTCAATCGACCGAGGATGGTCTCATAGCCTTTGATGTAGGCTGTTGCGCCAATGAGCTTCTTATTGCAATTTGAACGTGAGAACTTGGGGCCTGCTTGGCAGGTGCCTTTCCATTTTTTAGGCACTGCGGGCAGACCCTTGTCCTGAAAGCTTATATGCTCAGGCCAAATGCCAGTGTCAATTACACCAATAATGATATCAGAAGCCAAGTTTGAAGCATTCCAAAGGCCATGTCCTCTTTGTAGGCCCAGAAACTTGGGGGTGTGGGTGGTGTGAAGCTGTAGTAGTTTATCAGGAGTGGCAGACAGAAAGCCAGGGAGTTTACTTAAAGAATGAAGCTTTCTTGTTGAGAGCTTAGCAGAAAACCCTGAAATCAAGATTTTTAAATAAAAATTTTATAGTAAAAAATGATATGAAAATTTCAACATGGATGTTTAAAAGAGCTTGCCTGAAATGGCAGTTTTGTAGATATAAAGAATCTCGGCGGCATTTGATGCTTCATTTTGATCGTCGTTGATAGATGAGAGTTGGTTGATGGTATCAATGATGGATGTGTACCATTGTTGAGGGTTGGTTGTGGCCATCTTTGTGGCGTCCATGTGAATTATGTAGGATTGTTGATCCGCAGCAGCAGCAGCTGAAGTTGCAAGCATTATTGATAACAACAGCCAGAGTTCCGTAATGCCCATTGTGTGGCTGCAAACAAATACCAGGATCACGTTGAGGGACCAAAATATGCTTATTTCAAACAAATACCAGGATCACGTTGAGGGACCAAAATATGCTTATTTCAAACAAAAATGATATCACACATGACTAAGTCTCTTTAGTGAGGCACGCTTGAAGATTTCACCAAAAACACTTCAAAGTAAGATAGATATTTGATAATCTTTGTGCGTTTGGTCAATGTATGAGAAAACTTGATTCAAAGATGCATGCAAGAATGGAAAAACTTCAACTTTTTAGTTGTTTATTTTGATTACAAATACCACAAAGCTCAAAACTTCATATGAAGATGAATGCAGAAGAACATTAGGGGAAAAAAGCTTCATTTTTGAGAGAGAGAGAAGGAGTTAGTCAGTATACTTGCCTGATCCAGGCAGAGGCTGCAATTGCGAAGGAGGAGATGAATATATATATATATATAGAGAGAGAGAAGAAAAAGAGCGACGACAACAGCAAAAGGGAGCAGCAGTTAAGCTCGTGATTAGTATGCATTCAAATAGTAAGTAATGAATGAAATTAGGTTTGGTTGGATGGGTTTAGTGGGAGTGTAGTAGTGGACGCATTTCCACTAAAAGAAAACCCACAAACCAAATCTGTGCGTTTCAAAACAAGATGGATGTCTGTCTCAAGGCACAGTGGAACAGTATCTTTCATAATTCCTCATCTTTTTGTTTGCTTAAGTCAACCCTTTCTTCAATTCCACACATTTTCGTCAATTTTCCACTTACACTGGACTCTTCTCTAAAGTCTCCGCCTCTTATAATTAATATATGTTTCAATCTCCTCGCAAAATTAGATTCCGTCCTTTTTTTAGTTATCATATTCTCAGGATCACTCTTATTCGATATGATTTCTGGAAAATTTGTAAGTTTTGTTTTTGGAATTTAAAATATACATCCATGAACTAATTAAAACAATTATTAAAAAAATTAGAAAATTCTAAAAAAAAAATCTTGTTTGTGTGGATTTTTTAATTAAATAAATTATTATATGCTGAAATTTGGACAACTATTTTCTACCTGATTTTCTCTCCTATTAAAAGCATTAAATTTAAATATATTTTTCATTTAATTATCCATGAAAATTGACCGTTATCTTTTTTGAAATTTAGGTGAACAAAACATGAAATTTTTAATATATTTCTGGTTTAATTAGATAACAAACACAAAAGATGATTAAATATTTCAGGCCCACTTTTTATCTCTCTTACAATAAAATAATATATTTAAATTTCGTTTTGTTTATAGATTAATTAGTTAGATTATTAGATTTAATTAATTAAATATTTATATTAGATAATTATTTAATGAGTAAATAATAATTTAAAACAATTGAAATTAATTTATAGATCAATTAATTAAGGAGTACTTTTCTCTCTCTTTTCCTTTTTGTTTTTCCTTCTCATTTCACAAAGAAAAAAGTCAAATAAATTTGATCCTATAATTCAGCCCTAAAGTCACTATTTATTTAATATTTTTTTTTTTTAAAAAAAAAATAGAATTACAATGATAAAATAAAATTATGAGTGGATGGTAATATATTATAATAATATATTATGGCGAGTTGGAGACTACTCCGCTCAGTATGTATAATAATTAGATTCATACACGTTGTTCCAGCTGTGGGTAATTTATAAGTAAAGCATTAAGGAGTTGAAATAAATACATAGTTATAATAATGCCCCTAGCGTCGGGGTCGGAGATTAGGTTGGCATAATATATTATAAATATTTGATGGGATGTAATTGTAGTTTTAAGGTTATGTAACTTTTGTTAAAACTTTGATGGCCCAAAACGCAGCTACTTCCAAGTTACGGCTATAGGACTTCTCACAGCATATGTTCCCGACACCCAAACAAGAGATCCAAAAGAAAATCCACTCACGCCTTCTCTTTTACCCAATGCAACGAAGCTCACTTGGTAACTCAGCTTCTGTCCATATCTCCTAAAACTCAACTTCTCAGGCTTCACACTAATCCCTATTCCCTTTGGATTCTTGATTTTGACACTGTAATCACTTCTTGGCCGACCAACATTTGTGACCGTTCTCTTCAACGTAACACTAACATTCTTGGCTTTCTTCTTCATGAACACCGAGAAGGAAGGGTAGTTCAACTTCCCTGCCTGACCAACTCTTCTCTTTGATGGACATGTGAAGTTCCCTCTTGAAACTAACCCAATTTGTGTCGAATTATAGTTCAAGCTACACAAGTAATTCAGGTAGTCTTGGGGCGTGATATCATAGATCAGCCCTGGATCAGAGGCTTTCTCTGGATCCACATGACCAGAACCGAATGCAAAAGGGTTTGCGGGTTTGCCGCTTGCAGACCCAACGTCCGAAATGGGACTCATTCTATTGTCATTAGTGTAGGCTGTGGTCATGAGTGCTGATTTGATGGCTGCAGGTGACCAATCCTTGTGCGCTGATTTAAGCAGTGCAGCTAAGCCACTAACATGGGGGCAAGACATTGAAGTCCCTGAAATGACATTGAACAACACTCTTCTTTTATCAGACTCCACCTCACTTGGGCTGGCGATGAGTGGCCAAGCAGCTAATATATTAACCCCAGGTGCAGTTACGTCTGGCTTTATCACATCCGGTGCAATTAAGCTCGGCCCTCGAGAAGAAAACGCAGCCACTCTCGGTGCTCTGTTTCCAAATTTGGTCCCTTCAAACGCGATCAAAGCTTTTGGTTGATGCTTGGAGGAAGATATGTAGCGGATGATGGCTTGGCCAGCTGAAGCTCCAAGATTAGCGGCAGGTAACACATGAGGGTCAGCGAAAAGCTCCTCACCTTCAAGTTGTGTGTTGATCAGAATCATTCCAGCACCGCCTGCTAACTTCACTTGCTCTCCTTTCGCTGTTCTCGAGTTTGTCCCTCTTTCACATACCACAATTTTGCCCTTCACCATTGATGGGACAAGTGAACCAGCTGTACAAACATTTGCATCTTCTCCTCCAGCAGTATTGTTGTAAACAAGTGGGAGTTGACCTATGTTGTTCCCAGAATACAAAGAAGAGCCTTCAAAAACTTGTCCATTTCCAAGTTTAACAGTGGCTGGGAAGCTTCTATCAGTGTAGCTGGCAGCGACTGTCATGATCCATGGGGCTATATTACTAACCGTTGAGCTAGATGGGCCAGAATTACCAGCTGAACATGACACAAAAACCCCATTTCGAACAGCACCAAATGTAGCTATGGCAATATCATCTTTGTAAAAGGCACTAGCACTGCCGCCCAAAGAAAGGGACAGAACATCGACACCATCGGCAACCGCGCGGTCTATGGCTGCCAAAATGTCGGCATTGGCGCACCCCTCTGTCCAGCAGACTTTGTACGCTGCAATCCTGGAGAGTACCAAGATTTTTTTTTTTTTTTTTTTTTTTTTTTTAAATATCAAATCGATGAGAATATGTACATATGAACAAAAATTGAATACCTTGAAGTGAACCTCATTCCAGTGGCTACTCCCATGGCTTGGTTAAAAAAGCTAGCTTTGTTGACAATATTTCCAGCAGCAGTGGATGCTGTGTGTGTGCCGTGCCCATCCGAGTCTCGGGGCGATCGGAACGTTCCCGTTGCGTTCAATCGACCCACGATTGCTTCGTAGCCTTTAATGTAGGCTATTGCGCCAATGAGTTTCCTGTTGCAATTTGAAGGTGAAAACTTTTGGCCTGCTTGACAAGTGCCTTTCCATTTTTTAGGCACTGGGGGAAGACCCTTGTCCTGAAAGCTTATATGCTCAGGCCAAATTCCAGTATCAAGCAAACCAATAACTATATCAGAAGCTAAGTTTGAAGAATTCCAAAGGCCATGCTCTCTTTGTAGGCCCAGAAACTGAGGGGAGTGGGTAGTGTGAAGCTGTAGTAGTTCATTAGGAGTGGCTGCCAGAAAGCCAGGAGTTTTGCTCAAAGAATGAAGCTTTTTGGTGGAGAGCTTGGCAGCAAAACCTGGAAATCAATAAAATATGAGTAATACGAGTGGTTTTCACCGACATTGATAATTACAAATGTTACCTGAAATAGCAGTTTTGTAGACGTAAAGAATTTGAGCAGCATTTGATGCTTCTTCTTGGTCCTCTAAAGATGAGATTTCATTGATAGAATCAATCAAGGCTGTGTACCATTGTTCGGGGGTGGGGGCGGCCATCTTGGTGGTGTCCATGTGAATAATGTAGGATTGTTGATCCACAGCAGCAGTGGAGGTTGCAAGGAATATTGACAAAAACAGGCATACTTCCCTAAACCCCATTGTGTGGCTGCATACACAACCAAAATCACCAAACCAATATTATCCTTGTTGCACTCTTCATACCCCTCCCTTCAAACAAATACCTTTCAAATCTCCAACTTACTTTTAAATCATCTTTATGACTCATTACTATGTGTCACACATCTACTTAATTCATCCACAATGTCGCACATTCATGTCTCTCTAACCCCAATACTTTTATGCTTTATGTATAACTTTGGTTGCACCCAATAATGAAACACAAATGCATGAAAAGCAAACGTTTTTTATTGTGTGTACAACAAAAACAACAAAGGAAGAAAGAGAAAACTTCGTACAAGGGTGCATGCAGAAGAAAGATTGGGAGAACGAAGAGAGTTTTAGTGAGTGTACTTGCCTGAACCAGGGAGATGCTTCAGTTGGGAAGAAGATGAATGTATAAATGGCGAGGAAGATGGTTTATATACATGAATAAACTGGAGACATTGAGGCTATATTTCGTAGTTGTTATTATAGATCACAAGTAATGATTCAGAATCCCTTTGGTGGTAGTGTACTGCACGCCTTCCAACTAAAAAGGAAAATCCAACAACATGGGTGTCTGTCTCAAAAGATAGATAGTGGAATCCCCATCTTCTTGGTTGCTTCAGTCAACTCTCTGTCTCTTTACTTGGGTAGATTTTGTTGAAAGGAAGTGCAAGGAAGGGAATGGAAGTAGAGAGAAAAAGAGAGAATCTTGTTTGTTGTTGTTTAAAATGAGAGGTGATGAGGCTGTGGGGGCGACACCAATGAATTGATCTTGTGATACAAGGTTCGGTTTGAGTGAATTTGAAGGCATGGAAGATGCAATTCAAATCGCTACACAATTTTAATAGTAAGAGTGAAGTTAAAGAAGATGGGTATGATGATGCCAACCAGCTGACCTCGAATGAATTGATCTTCTTTTTTTTTTTTTTTTTTTTTTTTTTTTTTTTTTTTTTTT